AAATGGAAGTCCTGAACGCCATAAAGCTACTGAAATGCGGGAAAGCAGCAGGACCAGATGGAATACCGCCAGAAGCACTGAGAACAGATGCAGAGACAACAGCGGACATGCTCACACCACTATTGCAGAAGGTGTGGAAGGAAGAGAAGGTACCGGACGATTGGAAGAAGGGTTACCTTGTCAAACTGCCGAAGAAGGGAGACCTCAGTGCTTGCAAGAACTGGCGCGGAATCACTCTCCTGTCCACCCCAAGTAAAATATTAAGCCGCATCATCCTGGAGAGGCTTAAAGACGCACTGGATTCAAAACTGCGACCGGAACAGGCAGGCTTCAGGAAGTACAAATCATGTGCTGACCAAATTGCAACACTTCGTATCATCATAGAACAGAGCGTAGAATGGCAATCAGCTCTCTACCTCAACTTCATCGACTTTGAGAAGGCCTTTGACAGCGTCGACCGAGAAGTAATTTGGAAACTGCTTCAATACTACGGAGTACCGCAAACCTTTATCCGCCTCATTCAACAACTATATGAAGATGCCACATGCCAAGTAATCCACAATGGGAAGCTCAGTGATGCCTTTGAAGTGAAGACAGGAGTGAAACAAGGTTGCCTACTATCCCCCATGATATTCCTTATTGTGGTGGACTGGATCATGCAGCAAACAGTAGGCAGCGAGAAGAGGGGGATACACTGGACGACGGAAAAGAACCTAGAAGACTTGGATTTCGCCGATGACTTATGCCTAATGTCACATAAACTTGAAGATCTGCAGGCAAAAACTAACAAGTTGACAGAAGAGGCAGCCAAGACGGGACTTCAGGTGAATATAGAGAAGACAGAAGTGATGAAGATACCGCACCACCACCATCAACAACAACAACAACAAACTCCAATCACCGTCAACGGGAGAAACTTGAAGGAAGTAACCTCCTTCACTTATCTAGGAAGCATTGTTTCAACTACAGGCGGGACGGACGAGGACGTCAAAGTCAGAATCGGAAAAGCAAGACAGGCGTTCATTAGCCTGAAACCAGTGTGGAGATCTTCTGCACTCAGCATCTGGAACAAGATACGGATTTTCAACACCAACGTCAAGTCAGTGCTCTTGTATGGCTCAGAGACTTGGCGCGTCACGAAAGGGATTTCCAATAAACTACAGACATTCATCAACAACTGCTTACGCTCGCTGCTGAAGATCAGATGGCCAGAAAAAATAAGCAACAAGGAACTCTGGGAACGAACCAACCAAGAAGCTATCACGCAACAAATATGCAGGAGGAAGTGGAGATGGATTGGCCATGCACTGAGAAGGCCGACTGAGGACATCACGCGTCAGGCCCTCGAGTGGAATCCCCATGGGAAGCGACGAGTTGGACGTCCGAGGGTGACATGGAGGAGGTCATGCGAGGAGGAAATGAGAGCTTCTGGGCTGTCGTGGAACCAGGTTCAAAAGATCTCAGAGAACAGAGGTCACTGGAGGCGTGCTACTGAAGCCCTATGTTCCACTAGGAACCCAAGGGACTAATATAATATATATATATATATTCTCTAATGTAGTAAGATTAATTAGTTCATATATGACGCATTTCTCTTCTAGCTAAGAATAATTCGTTTCTTTGCTTTTTGTACATGACACTTCCTAGCTTTCTGTATTTGATAAAAGTGTAGTTCAGCCTGGAATAAAGTCAATGCCTATTAGCCAATAGCTGTAAAGATCGGGAGACTGGTGACTGTCGATGACTTTTTGGATTCCCTCCTCCTTCTGCCCCCTATTTCTTTATTCTTTCTCTTTCTTATGCTTCATTACTGTGTAGTTTTGTTGAATTATATATCTGTTCACTTCTATGTTTTGTTTTGCTATTGATAAATGCTATTTTAATCTACGTGTGGATTTTTGTTGATCAGCTGTTCTCAAACTTTTGTGTTTTGTGTTTTCTCGATTTTCTCTTCGTTATACTCATAATACTGATACCGCAGTCTCTTTTCAACGGTCCTTATTGATTACGAAACAACATTCCTAATATCAACAGAAAACTACAGAAGTAACTGCTTACATTCGCGATTATTTTTACTTTTGAGCTGTATGTCTCTTCTAAAAACACGTTTAGTTACAATACAAGTATATGAAACAATAGGTTATTGTCGTTTCTAATGCATCTACGGTATCCACTTTACTCTTATTCACTCAGTGTTAGGTATCCGCTTCACCTCCTACTCCTTCGGTTTCACTGCGAATAAGAGTTGATTACAGTAGTGTGTATGTGTATGTGTGTGGATGTATTCTTGGTCTGTTTTCCTCTGAAAATCCAACGTTTTATTCATTCTTCTGATTCTGTTTATATGGTTACTTGCTCGGTCAACATATGCGCACCATCACACACACATTAGGTTGAATCGATGCAGTTTTGGACTCATCATTCAACACTAATCTAATCAGTTTTGCTTTGGACCAGTAACGTGTGATGTGTATGTATGTATGCGTTTCGCATTCATAGGAAAAATTAACCTTGTATTGTTCCCTTAGTGATTGAAAAGTAAGTTAACCAAGCCGATGAGTGTCTCTTTTTGCAAACAATTCTTTACTCTTAAGTTTTGTATTTTCTTGTAATTACAAAGTTTTGATTGTCTATATGATAGTGATGGTGTGAATGAATTGTGAATGAATTTGTATTTTCACAAAAATTAACTGTGTGTGTGTGAGAATTAGTTGTATAAAAGAGTGATTGAATGTAACAAGGCATAGGCTCATTTGCTAATTGATGTACAACGACTAATAGAGATGCGTAGACCAAAGTAGTCCGCATGAGTTATGAATCCTTCATTCAGTGTTTTTGGGCTGACTACTGAAATCAATAAGGTGTATACACAGTTCGATTGACAATTCAAATTCCTTCAGTACTGTTATGAAATACTGTCTTTTATTTGTATATAGATGAATCAAGAACCAACTTTTTGTTTATTAGACGTAAATATGCATCTCTTTGGCATTTGGCAACTCGTATCATCTGTAGCGCTGACTGGCAAGATTTCCGGCTATTTACCAAAGGACACGTATACTGTGCTGCACTTCATCCTGTCGTGTTATACAACTATGAGACATAACCGTCGGAAGTAGAAAACGTGATGAAACAATTAAAGAGTTTTGATCATAGGTGTCTTCGTAACATTGCTGGCATTTGGCGGAGCCACTGCGTCAGCATTGTAGAGTTTAGGCGAAGGGTACTAGGTAGAACAGACAAATCGATAATATGTGGAGAAGCTGGATTAGGTTAAAGAGGTTTGAGGTTGGCGAGAACAATACGTGGCACTAGTCGATTTAGGCCCTGATTGTTGGTCTGACTCGTGTGGGGATATGTTGGACTATCTACTTAAGGTCCCTAAGACGATAGATATCAGTGGTTGAGAGAAGTCTTAGTGAAATGGCTGGAAATCGGTCGATGCCAAAGGTGCTGATGTATCCACTCGTTGACGTCTTCTAAACCTTGACTATTCGCACTAACCGTTATTTTCAGATTTATTTATCCTCTCCACCCGTTCTTTGTGTACTTCTGTGAAGTATGGTAACTTATGGTGATAGAATTATGTGGAAGGTTTTACCTTAATTGTGTTTTTCTATACATACCTCTTACTCACTATAATGTGAAGTTGGTCAATAGTTTCCCATCTTTCGCATTTAGCTCTGTATAAATTACTTACAGTTCGATAGGGATAATGGATAGTGTCTAGCAATAGAATTCATGATGTACATTTCATCTTGTTTAGAACTTGTCAGCTGGATGTACTTGCCTTGCAGTGAGTGATGCTGTCCCCACTGGGACTCGATTGTAGAACGCATCACTGTAAGTGCCAGAGAGTCATGGGCTAGGCTGCTGTATCATTAAACTACGAGCTATAATATCAAAGTTCTACCCGTCACACAAAGGGTGGCTATTATGATTCAACCCAGTGGATAACACTTTAGTGTTTGATGCGATGGGTACCGGGTTCGAGTCCCACTGAGAGCAACAACATCACTCACTGAGAAGCTCAGGTACATCCAATTGACAGGTTTCACATAGGATATATTCCGCTGCTACGCCCATTATCCACCATCCCCATCAAAGTGAATTCAACAGCAATATGGAAGTTATCTGTGCAGGAGATCATTTGCCGAATAATTCAGTCCAATGAAAGATTGTAAATTAAAAGCTGCAATATCAATCTCTCTGTTAATTATTCTTTACATTTTTGACTTCCACCTTGTAGATCATTATTTCTGTGGCTTAAATGACAACTGTTGTGATCAGATGAGTATAGAAATATAAAACTGACAATTCAATCAGAAAAAGACAAACAATATTCTCTTGGTTGTTTTATCAATGATTATGATTTGACTTTTTTTTCCGAATAATGTTTATAGTCATCATAATCTGTGACAAGATGAATCATGAATGCATCTATGTCAGTGGGAATGATTCTAAATGGTTGAATAGTTTGGGTGCTAGATTATGCTATAATTCATTGTATTCCAACCATTAGTCTCATCATGGGTTTCAGACACTTCATATCTTGGTGGATTAATCATGATGTTGTTGAATCGTCTATTCTTCACATTATTAACAACATGATTTATAATTGATCTTACTGGTGCAACTGTGGCAGCGTACCACCTTGTCATTGCTTCCTGTAAATCATGAAAATTTTATAATTCTTTCCCATTTCTAATGGACTGTGTTAACTGGAACTATTCATCATTTTGAAGGTTTGTGGAGGTTTATTTATTGATTTCATTACAGGATGACATTATTTGAAAAAATCTTTGTAGAAGCCTGAGAGCACTGGGACTCCTCACCAGGGTGCATCTATTAACCTACCCTGCTAGAGATCGAACTCAGGAATTTATGTACAGTTTTCTTTTGAATGTTATTTTATCTGATGTATCTAATTTTCATAATATATTGTTCTCATTTTTCTGCTCACCCCGCCCCCCGCTATATATCCCGCATATTGTATCTAGAATTTCTTGAAAACCATGACAAAGAAGAGGTCACAACTGAAATGGTAATACAGCATTTATATGAAACTGCTTGCACTATGATAAACTCTGAAAACTGGCTTTGCAAGTAATTTTTTGTTTTTTTTTTTGTGTACAAAAATGATTGATTTTTTAACTTGAACATTTTATTGTCAATTTAAGGTGAGTACATAGTTCATCAATTTAATTGAGAGATAGTCACTAGGCAGAATTATTATTTAACAGATTAATTTTAGAAATGTTAACTATTTTCACATCATCCAGTCAAATATATAGTTTGATGGTGTTCGGATGATAATGGTTGATTACGGAGCCTTTTTTTCGATTACATTGGAAAGCTTTTGTTCAGTTTCATAAAACTTAGATTGTAGATCCCCTGATCTACTAACCGAATTATTTGAAGTAATAATTATACCCAGTGCCGTGGAATTAACGCACAAGGTAGCTATAATTAATTATGGGTTGGTGTCAGCTTGAGAAGCATTGAAAAAAGTCCAACAGCACACTGTATAACTGTTACGTCCTCGTTTGGGACTCTTCAGCATTTTACACTGACAGTCAGTAGTAACTCGTAGCATAGAAAAAAAAACTTCTGCTTAAAACTAAAATGAACATAAACAAGCTGAAGTTATCCAACCACTTTGTTGCTAGAACTCAGTGTTATATGATATTAAAAATTTGAATGACTTTAAAGATCCCTTTTGTAACTATCGAAATAACCATTCAGATTGTGACAATTTAGCTTGCAAGGCAGTTTTTCATAGAGTAGAGAGACGTAATTGGTTGTCTTAACAGTTGCTAGTGTGAATCTAGCATATTAATTTAATGTAAAAGTGAGCTTAATGATTAGTAATGGCGTGTAATTTCACATCCGTATTAAACTTTTATTTTTCTGCCTGTTTAGGATTGGAAAAATCCAAGAGTTGATTGATTCTCACCGATTGGCAAATTCAAATAAAGGAGCAGAAGCCCGATAATTCCCTGTTTGATTATCATCCTGTTTTATTTCTTGTTGTCTTTGTCTGTTTGTCTTCCTTTTTTTTTTCTATCTTTCACCCTTTCACTCACTTGGCTATTTATTTCAAAATAAAATCTTATTTTGTCTTTTGTACGCATGTGACAGTGAAGACAATTCAATCTCCAATGTCTTCTTCTTATTCAATTTATTAGTCTAGAATGCCAGTTATAGTGGATTGGTTGACTGAAGAGTATTCATCTTGCTGTTTATTGACAAATATGCATACATATGTATACATATTTTGTGCTAAGATCCTATATAGATCGCAGACAGTTAGTGAATGTATACACGTTGTTTTTGTATAATTTCGTCTATATGTTCAACAGTGTATTGTTACTTCTTGCTTGAAATATAAATTGCTCCCTTATCATTTCCTTTTCCCTCTTCCCCCTGTTTCTATCATCCTTCTATCATCTTTATCTTTGTGTTCATTTGTTCGATTTTGTAAGATATTTCATTGGTTTTTTTTCTGTATTGGGAATCATTATCATTCTTCAACTAACTATGACTCTCTTGCAACAATATATGAAAAGTGAGATCGATAAGTGCATTTATCCATTGAGTGTGTGTGTTGGTTAAAAGGTTGTTGTCGCCGTCATCATTTTCGTCGTTTCCATCCTCCTCCCCAATCATCATTGTTGTTGCTTTTGTGCTATTTTCTTCTTTGAAATGTTGAAGAAATGTGTATTTGTTGACAGGTTTACTTTATTGATTTTGTTGTATCACTTTTAAACTCTTCCCCTTAAAATTTGACAACAACTTGATGTTATGCTGACGATAGCTATTGGTAATCCGGTGTAAATGTTTTGCTTCCTTACTCACTCATGTTATATCTGTATAGATAGACACTCACAGACAATAACCACCATCATTTTGAAACTGAGAATGTAAAGAAAATGGATCAAGTTTATCCTGAACACTGCCATTTTGGACGTCATCAACCAACTATATATATATATTATATATATATATATATATATATATATATATATATATATATATATACGGTATCCATTGAAGTTTATCAGTGTTTATGTTGTTGTTATTATTATCAATTGAAATTAGATTTATTTGCCAATTTGGTGTTTTTGTATTTGTATTTGAGGATTTTCGGTTGAATTTACCGTGAAAAACGAACTATGCTTTTTTTCTTCTAGTTACAATCCTCATCATTCACCATGCTATACTTTTACTATTATTGGTCATTATACAAGTAATCTGAGATATTTATGTGATTTCACGGGTTATGCTCTCGCTATCGGTCTAGACAGTTGACTTAGTGTTCGTGAATCACGGGATCGAAACTCACTCCACCTACCTACTTACAAGGTTGGTATTATTTTAGGCCGAAACAAATTAGGCGTGACCGTATAAGCGTGAATGTGGTTGTTGACAGAATTCTTTTATTCAGTTACGATTTAGAATTTCCCTGATTCATCCTGGTGTACTGATGTAAGGCATAGGAATATAGATCGTTTTGTTTCACTTCGAGATCGCATGTTCGTATTGCTTAACTGAGCTGGACATTTTTCTATATAATCATTTCGTAAGTACTCTATACAGTGAGTCGTAGTGTGAGCACATTACCATTTAGGAACCACTGAATTAGATTGTCGAATGTTTTGTAACTTGTGTCAGTTTTGAGTGCAACCCCAATCAATGTTGTCGGTAAGTATTTATCCTCATATCCAATTTCATGGATCTCAGAGATAACAATAAATTGGAAGTTGTGAGTCATTGGATGATAAACTGCCGACCGAGAGAACCGCCTATTCTAAGCCTAATAGATCACAGGTTCACGCTGATGAGAAGTTTAAGATTAGGACGAAACAACTGATTTTCTAGTTAAAGAACAACTTTTAACATTAACCAATTCCTCATAAACCATTTAATGTTTTATTTAAAAAGCCCACAACTGTGCTGTGATAGTTATTTCTTTTTGGAGTTCATAATAATTATACTTTTAAGGTAGTATACATCACGGACTGACATCAGTTGCAGAACCATTGAAAACCTGGAAGCACTAGATACCCGTTTCGTTTTAGTATGCGACTCCTCAGCAGTACCCACCCACCGCCACACCAGGGATCAAACTCAGGACCTTCAAGTTTCATGGCGAACGCGTTAACCGTTCAATGGTTCATAGTTTCCAACTTCTGTCAACTTGCGATGTAGCGCAGCTATCACCTAAGGTCTTCAAATGGTACCTTTAACAAGTGTACAAGTCTACTAAACCGTGGTTATATAAGATAGTCAGACTGATTATCATTCAGCATGATACCCCTCCGAGATCTTCTGCACTCAGCAAGTGGAACAAGATCCGGATTTTCAATACCAACGTCGAATCAGTGCTTCTGTATGGCTCAGAGACTTGGAGTGTTACGAAAGGGATTTCCAACAAACTACAGACACTCATCAACAACTGCCACCTACGCTGGCTCGTTACTGAAGATCAGATGGGTTGCCAGAAAGAATAAGCAACAAGGAGCTCTGAGAGCGAACCAATAAAGGAGCTATAAAGCTGTAAAGAAGCTTCCGAGTCCCGGTGGGAAAAACATCACTCACTAGGAAGCAGGTACATCCAGCTGACGAGTCCCAAATAGAATGAAATGCGCATCCTGGATTCCACTGCTAGCCACTGCCCATCATTACTAAAGAAGCTATCACCCAACAAATATGCACTGGAAGGAAGTGGAGATGGATTGGATTGGGTATACACTGAGAAGGCAGACTGGGGACATCACGCTTCAGGCCAGTCCGTCGAGTGGAACCTAGATGGGAAGTGACGAGTTGGGCGTCGGTGTCGAGGGTGACATGGAGGAGATCTTGTGAGGAGGAGATGAGAGTTTGTGGGCTGTCGTGGTGTCAGGTTGAAAAGATTTCAGAGAAGAGAGTGTAGTGGAGACGTGCTACTGAAGCCCTATGTTCCATTAGGAACCCAAAAGACTAATAATTAAAAATAAATTAAAGACGATAATTTGCTTATGTTTTGGTTGGTAAGTGATCACATAAAGCGATAAAGTAATACTTAGTGAAATAGATGGAGGATGAATTGGATGCATTGGAGTTGAATGCATGGAATTGACAAAGAAGTAGAGGTGATACATCTAAACATACTGTACATCATCGAGGTAGTTGGAGATGAAGAAGTGAAGTGGGGTTTCATGATTTCACTGACTAGTGGATAACTCTCTGTCATTCGAATCTCGAGTGTATTTCTGCCACTCAGTTGGATGCAGGTATATCCATCTGACAAGTCTGGAGAGTAGGAAGGATCACACGTGCTTGATTGATTCCACTGTTATCTACTACCAAGGGAATTATGCCAACTGTTGCTATTATTAACTGAATCAAATTGGAATTGCTGTATTAATCTGGCTACAAGTGGTTTTGATTAACTCAGGTTATACTATTTATTCACTGTTTTAAATACAGCTGAATTGAATTTGATACTCACTACTTCGTTTACAGTTTTAGTGTGCATACTCTTTGGTGCTCTAAAATGTATCTTAGTAACATAATTTGTTGACTAAATAAAGACTTGCGTTTCTCTCATACATGCGTACTTGTCTTGGTGTGCACTAACAGTTGAACTGACACAACCAGGTACTGGTCAGGTAATACACACCAGCCTCTTCACTTGTCTGCATCACTGGTGATTATTTCTTATAAGCATATATACTAGTTATGTATCCAGGACCATTGTATTGTAATTAGTGTTTGTCCTTTTGGTTCCTAGTGGGATATAGAGCTTCGGTAACAGGTCGTCAATTCACTCTTCTCTCCAGTTTTTGTAATCTGGTTCCATTACTGCTCATAAGCTTTCATTTCTTCCTCACACGATCTCCTCCATATCACCGTCAGACTGTCAACTCGTCGTTCCCCTTTGGGTTCCACTAAACGACCTGGCCTGACACGTGATGTCGTCAGTCAATCTTCTCAATGTATGTCCAATTCAATCCATCTCCATTTTCTTCTGCATATTTGTCGCGCGATAAGTTGTTGGTTGTTTTGTTGCCACAGTGAGTTCATTGTCGCTTATTCTTTCTGGCCATCTGATCTTCACTATTGAGTGAGCGTAGGAGCCAGCTGTTGGAGAATGCTTGTAGTTTGTTGGAAATGCTTTTTGTAACGTGGCAAATCTCCGAAGCATTAGATAGAAGCACTGACTTCACTGAGATTAGTGTTGAAAATTCTGGTCTTGTTGTTTATGCTGTGTGCAATGCAGTGCAGTGCAGTGCACTAGATGTCCACACTGATTTCAGATTGAGGAAAGCCTGTCTTGCTGTCTTTCCTATGTTGGACCATTGTAAACTCTACTAACGTAATATCATTTTCTCAGACCAGTTGAATAGATACAGACTATTACTTAAGGTTGGTCTAGTTCAGCTTTCCTTGAGGACACTGTTTTACACCATCTCATAAACTTATTATTGAGAATTGATTTTTTTTTCTAGTTATTCCTTGGATAATATGTGCTGACATCACACAATCTGAACTACATTTGATTAGTTGACTGTTGGGATCGAATGTCATCAGTGTCAACTAGTAGTCATTATGCAGCAAACTTTCATTCCATTTAAAATTGTTCATTTGATGTGGCGAACACACAGTGAGTGATACAGTATTAGTTAGTGGATGACGACGATTCGAGGAGAATATATTGCTCATATTCATATCAAAGTGATCATATGAGGTGCAAACTTCCTCTATATTATTAAATTTGTTGGTTTGTGGGGGGGGGGGGGTTGATTTAGTGGTTTTTCAAGTTTGTAGTCATCCATGACATATTACTTGGAGGAACATTGGAAACCTGGGAGAGCTAAGCACCTGTTTCGTTCTAGTATGGGACTCATCAGTAGTGTAATTTCATATCCTAACCAGAAGTCGAACTCACTACCTTCAGGTTCCGTGGCTAGCATGTTACCATTGGGCCACTGGGCGGGAATCCAATGGTTTGTATTTCCAACTTCTGTCAGTACGCGATAGTCATCTAATTGCATCGTTGAGTGTTTGCCCTCACATCCACCAAGTTTAGCATAAGGGACTCGAGTTCTCACTGGGATTTCAGTGATCTCATCTCGAAGCTAGTCACTGGATGAATTTAATTTAAAGGTTTGTGTGGATTTATTCACTTCAAGTTGATGTTCCACTATATAGTCCAATGCATCTTCATCCTTATATAAAATTTTATTCTCAGATTCTTGAATTAAAATTCATTTCCAAAGTGCAAAAACAAGCCATATGATGGGCAATTACATTTTCAAAAGCCAGTTAGATTGAGGGACTGTAAGAAAATCGATCTATCCATTTCAAATTAATAAACATAGCGATCATAAGTACAAATAGGAATGACAACATGTTGGACAAAGAGGAGACGAATTAAAAGGCTGAAATGGCTTTCAGTTCGCTGAAAGTCAAAGAAATTATGATTGGACATGTCCTGCCTGAATGCAGAATTCAGGCTTGATCAGTCTTATTGTCAAAGCCTTCGCTATAGTGAGCAGGCGTTGAGGAGCTACATGTGGTATCGTTTTTGTAACACGATGAATCACACTGAAAGCTTTATATTAGTATGTACATGATGCCATGACTAGATTAGATGCATTAGGAATGAACTTCTCAACACTTCCACCTCGACTTTTCCAAACAAAGCTAGTAAGTGGTACCGCATCTGTAGACACACCTGCTCAGTCATGTGCCGTGTGTAACTAGTTCCACAGGAACTTTTGAATTCATATATATGGGATTGAGTCCCACTAGAAACTGGTGAGACACAAATAGGATAAGACTCACCTCCTGGACTTCACTGCTAACAACTAAGCCGATTCAATCTAAATCAAACCAGTTAAATGACTGTTTAGTTCTAAGTGCATATATATATATATATATATATATATATATATATATATATATATATACCGTCAGGCTACAGACTGCATGGAACCTGGAACTTGTTAATACTCCATATATTGAATAATCAACCAGTCAACTAAAGGTTTGATATAACCATCATTCTTAAGCATGTTAAACACTTTCATTTTGAATGTTTATATGGATGAGAAAAGTTTATATGTGATTCAATGTTTCAATTGTGTTTGATTGAATTAACAACTGACTAACTGACTGACTGGTTGATTTCATTAGAGTGTTTACATAATGGACTCTCATTAATTCAACAGCGTAATCATATTCCAAGGTATTTTCAATCATAGCTATTGAAACACATTG